CTCTCGGAGATTCTGATGTTCATCGAGTGAAAAGTCTCTGACCTCCATCGTTAGAAACAAAGGTCATGTCCTGAAGGTCAATGAATGAGTTTTGTTAAGATTAAACCTCATTCAGATGCATTTTATTCTTCCCTTATGGCCTGAACACTTTTTATCTGAGGATTCTCTTAACTAATTCTAATCTACCTTTATTCAGACCTCTTTTTCAGCATGTCGAGTTTCCTCTTTCCTCTAACCCGTTTGACGTAGGGTGTCGTGGTGATTCGTAAATGACAATGGGCATCAGGAATGCAAGAATTAACCGTTTTATCATCTATCCCTGACTCTTATCCATCTCAAAGTTTCGAAACATTTTATTTTCATAATCCGATGTACAACTATTCAAATGTTTGGGGTCAGCTAGATGATTTAAAATGTTAAAAGGTCTTGTCTGCCGACCCAGCCTGCATTTATTTGATCAAAAATACAGTAAAAACAGGAATATTGCGAAATAATATTACTATCTAAAAGAACCGTTTTCTATTTTAAAATGTAAATTATTCCTGTGATCAAATCTGTATTTTCAGCATCATTACTCCAGTCTTCAGTGTCACTTGATCCTTCAGAAATCATTCTAATATTCCAGGATTCTTTGAATAGAAATATCTTGTGACATTATAAATGTCTTTAATGTCACTTCTGATCAATTGAATGCATCCTTACTGAATAAAAGTATTAATTTCTTTACCATCCCCAAACCTTTGAAATGTAGAGTATTTCCAAATTAAACTAGAAAAATCAATGCAAAGAAGATCCATCAGGAATTGACCAAAAGGATTGGAGTTCATGTATTGCATTGACTTTCACTCAAAATCCTTTTCTGCGGAAGACAAAATGAGAACGAGGAGATACACTAACGCGGGAGGTCAGAGAGTGAAATGCAGATGGGATGCGTGTGACTTGAAGTGACTATTTTGCCTCCATATTTGTGAGTGCACATTCCCATGATTCACTCTGGCAAGTGGGAGGAGCTGAGAGATGACTCGAGGGAGGGGCCAAAGAGGCCGTAGAGTGGAGTGGGAGGGGTTTGAGGGTACGACACATGGAAATCAGCAGAGAGCACACTGAGGGTTAGGGGAAAATCTACAGTCTTTATTGGAAATTATTAGTATGAGTGGAATTGTGTGATCATAATAATAATAATAGTAATAATAATAATAATAATTCCATGCAAATAAAGAGCGAAGGCAAGGCCCAACCATGCTCCATAAAGTTAACATAACAGAAGCAGCATCCAATGGGTAGATGTGTATGCTACAACACGTCAGTACAGCAGGACATGTCTACACAAAGATACATTGGAGTTTGCTGTTCAATGTTCCAAAACAAAGAAACAATCAAAATCAAGAGAAAAATAATAAACATGGTCATGCATTACAGCCTAGTACAGGAACAGAAGGCAGAGAACCACAACCAAAGAAATAGAGACATTTCGATACTAGGAGGACTTCTACAGTGCAGTTCTAGTGATCCCTGTAAAGTGGATGACATTGGCGCTCGCACAGCGCTAGGAGCGCCGCTCGGTAGCGCTAGGCTAATGCTGGCGTTGCAGCATGGGTAAATCAAATGAATGAGGGGCGGTTTGAGTGCTGGTCGGGTGTCATGTGCCAGTCAAGCGCCGAAAACTACCACTTAGCCGTTTGTTTCTTCCGAGTGCTAATTTTATTACTTTTTTCTTTAACAAAATACGCCATTTAGGTTGTCTTTAACATTATATGACTCATCTCATTTTAAAAAAGGGAAACATTATGCTAGTCTTGAAAATAGTACCGCAACAATTTACATCATATAGACCTAATGCGCCAGAGAAATAAGCCATCATTAAAAAAAAATTGAACTTCCGGTTTTGCGGTAGCTCTGTATATTTCTATGGCATCGCTCTCAAAGAGTACTTAGCTGGTGAACTCGGGTTTATTTATTGTAGAGTTAAGTTATCATGAGCGTTGTAATGTTTGAAGCGATGTTGTCTCATATAGTCGAGAACTATATTAGGGCTGTGAAACGATTAATCGCATCCAAAATAAAAGTTTATGTTTACATAATATACATGTGTGTAGTGTGTACAATTATTTTGGATATATAAATACACACACATGCTTGTATATATTTAAGAAATATTTGCATGCATGTACTTTATACTAAATTAATATTATACATAAATATTTGATATATTAATAACACATTTTTCTTTAATATATACACACGGATGTGAAAATAATTATACACACTACACACACATATTATGTAAACAAAAACTTTTATTTTGGATGCGATTAATCGCGATTAATCATTTCACAGCCCTAAACTATATAGTCATTTTTAACGAGACTCTGAATCTGAGCTCTTTTCCATTAGAAACCACCAAAAACACCATTACTGCATATGGAGAAATCATACGCTACCTACAGAACCTACAGATTCAGCTCCATACAAGAACCAATGGCGTTTTTGTCCATTAAAACCATTTGAACACACATAATCAGTGAACTATAACTTGCATTTAACTCATAAGACGTCAGAAGACTTGAAATATAGTGCACAAGTCATTTAAATTAAGTTTGTTATGAACTAAAAACATTTTTGTTTGTAAAAACTGCAATAAAATACTTACTCTAGTAATAACAGTACCTAACATATCCATTAATATCACTCAGTACATTAAGTACAATGTGACTACATCACCTTAAAATAAAGTGTAAACAATAAATATTAGATAAAAAATGCAAATGTTGCATTCTTAACTATATTTTCAATAAGTTGAAGCACTAAAACGGCTAACTAGAAATAAAACTAAACTAGAATCAACATAAATAAAAACTAACGTAAATATTTCAGCTTTTGTTATAACTCGTTTAGTTTTTAGTAATTTCGTTCGCTGAAATAAAACTGGTTTAAACTACGATTATGGCGTTTTTGGTTCTTTCTGGAAACCCGTAAAGATCCTTAAACGTCTCCTTTTGTTTTGCACTAAACTAATAACAGCATAGGGGTTTGGAACGACATGAGGGTAAATAATGACAGAAAATATTCCTTCAAGGAAGAAGGTATAGATTTATTTTGATTAAATAATTAATCGTCCGCCCCAGGAAGCAAAGGGTCACCGAGTGAGATGTTATCGACCCGAACTGTACATGAATAATTAGAAAATAAAAAGAAATAAACACGTCAAGCTTCAAGCAAGTCCAAATCTCCGGCACCGGCACAGCACACCCTCCCAAAAAGACGAGACAGAGACAAGTGTTTAGGGGTCGATCAAGCCCGGCTATGATCGAGTGAGAGGCCAATGCATCCACTTGACAGAAATTTACAGCAAAAATGTTGGTCTATCCACACTGAGAATGGGACAAATCACAATGACAGTCGTAAAAAAAGCTAAATGCTACAATGAGTTGTTATTTTTGTCAAAGCAACAATGACCATTTAAAAAATAAGAAGACAAGAGGATTCTTCTAGAGAAGAGAGAGTGTTATTCTGCAGTCGGTTACACAGGAGGATATAAACTGGATGAGTGAGAGTTTGTTTGTAATGTCGTCTTCAGATGGAAAGAGAGGGAATGAGAAGAGGGAGTCACAACACAGCTAGATGCAGGGCAGGCAGAGGCTATAGCACAGCAGCGGCGGGTGATCGTTAGATACACAATGGAAGGGAACAGAGCTCTGAAAAAATGCGGTATGTAGAATCAGCCCCCAGACTATGGAACAAGGAAAAAAATAGAAACAAATACAAGCACAATCAATGAAACCATCGGTGCTAGGGCACGGCTACAAAATGCACCTTATTATTATTATTATTATTGCACACATGTACATTGATGCATTTGTTTTTTTCTGCTGGTGTAAAATGCATACACAACTGTATTAGGTAATTACACACACTTTATACACAGATCTGATGCACCTCATATTTTACAATTGCACGTATTCTGTTGGTGGCAACTGAATGCATAATATGTACCAACCAATGCATCTTTTTCTGCTGGTGCATTGAAGGTTATAAAATGCATAGTATTTACAGGTTATAAACATAAATGCATCTTCTTCGGTTACTGCATCATTATGGAATTCCAAAGCTGCCAAAATACGGCTAAAATTGTGTTTTTCTAACATTTTTATCATTTAAGTGCACAGATACTGTATATGATGCACCTTTTTTTCCAATCCAGACATGGCTGGCTAAGGTGGGATTTAAGATTGAGACGGGTTTTTTTTCCCCTTCTTCTCTCCATTAGAGCAGAATTAAACACGCAATGCCAGCTGCAAATGATGATTAGAGATTAAAACGATCCGAAGCCAATTTGTCATGCATTCATCCTGTAAAAGCTTAAATTATGAGCAGGTTCAGCTGAGGGTATGTTGTGCCACTGCAGCTGCCCATCAGTACACTGACTGCTGAAGCCATGTTTAATTATTCATAAACAAAACCGCACACGGCGGAACGGATGTGAGGGAATTTAACGCAACGCGTCGCGTTATGTCCACTGCAACGAACTAAAACGCTGTCGACGCTAACGTTACTTTGTTGATTATAATATGTTGTTTGCCGTCCGTTGAATCGACAGCTTCGTTGATTGTACCAAGCGTTTGACGCGCCCCAATAGGGTGCTATACGTAAAACAAACACATGAATACGCATACACGCGCGTAGCTTATTACGTTACTAGCAGCTATATTAAACGCAAATGCTTCATGACACAAAGGATGACGCTTAGCAAGGTTGTACGCGTTGTCCAAATTGTGACCTGATAAATGTTTATCCAGCAAATCAGAACACAGTGAATATCTAGAATATCAGCATGACGTATTTTCTTTAATGTTACCTCACTGAGCAAATCGCTCCGTATTTGTGTTGCAAAATACGCGACGCTCCGGCAGGCCAGCAGCCTTTGATCACGTCCGCGCGACCCTCGCGCGCTCATTAAAACCAGACAAGGGTGCGTGCGACAGTAAATAAGACGCAATTACCTCTACTTCTGACGGAACCGAAGACGGGAAGAACCAGATATCCGACGTGCACTAACACCATCCTGGCTCCTTTGTTGCTGTGCTGCCCATGGACACCTTCGCCTTCCAATACGAGACCATTCAAAATGCAGCCCAGACGCCAGCTGCCCGCACACAAAGAGAACGACAACCAATCGGCGGGCACGGCGCTGCTTCCTGTGGCTCCGGCTCATCCAATCAGAGCGCCCGGCACGGCGGCCAGTCTTTTGTGAATTAGCTGTGGGGGGCTTTGACATCATCAGAGTGGACGCGGCGCAGACGCTCAGCTGCTAAAACGCGTCAAGATTTGTAAACTATGACGTCAGCGTGTAAATATTATACTGGGATGTTGGGATATATACATATAGGCTAATTAATTAAAAACTGCTACTGAAAGATAGTCACGGTTATGTAATCAGACCATTTTTTTGTTAAAGGAATTATCCAGGTTAAAGGAATGGTTAACTCTCAGCCTCAAATTGTTTCAAACCTGTATGAATTTGTTTTTAAGAATGTTGGTAACCAAGCAGTTGATGAACCGCATTGACTTCCATAGTACGGAAAAAAATGCTGTCAACTGTCTGGTTACCGACATTCTTCAAGATATCTTTTGTGTTTAGCAGAAGAAAGAAACTCATAGGTTTGAAACAACTTAATGGTGAGTAGCCTAAATTATGACACAAACTTACTATTGAAGTGAACTATTCCTTTAAATAGGTACCTGTGGCATGCTGGTCACTAGCATTAAACAAACATACAAATAAACACTTTGATCAAACTAAATAATATTACTATACAGAACGTACAATGATTTTTGTCTGGCATACAATAAAACAGTCGAAAAACTCAAGAGAGTGTCAGGGGTTAAGAGGAAAAGTTTAGAGAAAAACGAATAATAAAATTGAGATTAATTGCATCTAACAAGTTTTATATTGTGTGAGTTGTTTTAACTCACTTGAGAAATAAACTCAAAGACATTTTTGTATTCTGAATGGTCTGTTGGGCAACTGTTGTATAGCTTTTGTTACACTTTCAGATTTGAGGTTTGTATATACCAAAACAAACATAACCTGTTTTTTTTTTTGTATTTTTAAAAATCTAATTTGAAAGAGTGCAAGAGAATCGCAGACAGACACAGGGCCTGTTGGCCAGAAAGGGGTTTGGTTGCCGTGAAAGACTATACACTCCATATGTCAGTCCTTACCCGTCCTGAAGCCCTTCCCCCAAACACACACACACACAGGGGTCTGATCTGTGATTATCTCTACTCCTTCTGTTCATACTCCTCAGCACAACCCCTGTAAAGACCCCCACCCTCTCTCTGTTCCTCCAATTATAAAGTAACACATCTTACTCAACATCAGTTACACTGCTTGTTATAAAGAATCCTTTACTCACTGTACTCATATTTTACTTGACCTAATACACTACAAGAGGCTAAATGTAAAAATTTTGTATTTCCAATGTGTGAACAGCATGTGATGAAAAAACTTGATCTTCCTCAACTTCCGGCTGTCTGAAAGCCTGTAGAGTAAACCGATTTGTTTTGTGTCAAGGACTCGGGCCGGTTGTTTACGCACATTCCCGAGATCCTCTTTTATACAAGATTTATTATATAAGATTTATCATAGGATAACGCTGCCATTCTGTATCGTAATGAGTGTGTCATGCAAAGAATATAGGGATTAAGTCTCACTAGACCTATATAATCTGTAGTTTCAAACATATTTTATATTAAAACTATCATAAAAATGTCATTTTAATACCCTCACCTGTTGACATGATGACAGAGAATTGGAGAGCTGTGCAAACATATCCACATCGCTTGATCAGATGCTTTCTTAAAGGAGTAGTTCACTTTTTAAAAAACTTTTGCTGATAATTTACTCACCCCCATCATGTCATCATCCAAGATATCCATGTCATTCTTTCTTCAGTCGAAAAGAAATTAAGGTTTTTGATGAAAACATTCCAGGATTTTTCTCCATATAATGGACTTCAATGGGAACCAAACGGTTCAAGGTCCAAAAGATACTTTCAGTGCAAACTACAAACTGTTCAAAGGGCTTTAAACAATTCCAGATGATGAATAAGGGTCTTATCAAGCGAAACGATCGCTCATTTAAAAAAAAGCCGTGACTCTCCTGTTCGAACTCGTTTATCAAAATGAACGAATCTTTTTTCAAGTCATTTGGTTCATTCAACGAATGAAATGAACGAATTGACTCGGGAAAAGATTCGTTCAATTTGATGACTGTTTGATGAGTCATGAACGTGCATCACAGAACAGAGCAAGGCGACCATTTGAGCTTATAAAACTTAAACTTTGTTTTTTATTTTTAAATGTGCGATCGTTTCGCTCGATAAGACCCTTATTCATCGTCTGGTGTCGTTTAAAGCCCTTTGAACAGTTTGTAGTTTGCACTGAAACTGTCTTTTGGACCTCGAACCGTTTGGTTGCCATTGAAGTCCATTATATGGAGAAAATCCTGGAATGTTTTCATCAAAAACCTTAATTTCTTTTTGACTGAAGAAAGAAAGACATGGATATCTTGGATGACATGGGGGTGAGTGAATTATCAGCAAAAGTTTTTTTAAAAGTGAACTACTCCTTTAACTTCTGATTTCTCTGTTTTTTTTTCAACAAAAATGTATCAACATTGATAATAATCAGAAATGTTTTTGAGCAGATTCATCATATTAGAATGATTTCTGAAGGATCATGTGACACTGAAGACTGGAGTAATGATGCTGACAATTCAGCTTTGATCACGGGAATATATATATATATATATATATATTACAATAGAAAAGAATTCTTTTAAACTGTAATAATATAACAACATTACTGTTTTAACTGCATTTTTAATCAAATAAATACAGCCTTGGTGAGCATAAACATTGAAAACATCTTACCGATATTTACATTTAAAGGTTTTTGGCCTAAAACAGTTATATTGACCAGATCAAGCCTCTTCTAATGTCTTGGCTATAAATAGCAGAACTGAATTCATAGCACAAAACTTTTTCTGCTGTAAAGCCAGCAGACTGAGCTGAAATTAGCATACAGCTGCAGGCGTCTGTGTGTGAGGAACCCCGATTTCTTTGTCATTAGGGATGAACAGACCCTCTTGTGGCAGCTGCCTATAGTGACCCCCAGAGGTCAGAGGTCACAGGCTGCTTTCCCACACTGGAGTCTGTTTCATACAACTCTGTTAACTCATTTTAATAAATGAAAACACACACGCAACAATGTTACTCTTTAAATATCTCTATTTATTTATCTTAAAATAGTTTCATTTTATTCTACATAAATGTTAAAAGGAAGAAAGACTTGCGGAAGCAAAAAATATCAACACTCTTTTGCTATTCATTTAAAATACTGTCAAAATGAAAATGAACCAAAACAGAGTAGCACAATTAAATAAAGGGAAAGTGTTTTTCAAACGCAGTGGAAATCTACTGAACAGTTCAGCCACATCGGACCGTCCCAGTTCTCAGGATTATTGCTGTTTTAGGACGCTTAAATCTGTGTTAAACTACAAAAGATTCCAGCAGGAAAACACAAATGATCACGAGACCAAACGCAGGAGAGGATGATGATGGTGATGATGTCATAATGGAGGCTTTAGAACTGAAATCAGAAACGTAACATTTAAAACTGCTTAAAGGGATATTCCACTTTTTTTTGGAAATAGGCTCATTTTACCACTCCCCAGAGTTAAACAGTTGAGTTTTACCATTTTCTAATGCATTCAGCCGATTTCCTGATAATTAGAAGAATATCTGTAACCTGACAGTTTCTGGTCTCATTGACTTTCATAGTATATATTTTTCCCTACTATGGAGGTCAATGAGACCAGAAACGGTCTGGTTACTGATATTATTCTAAATATCAGAAAATTGATTCAACAACGGTAAAACTCAACCTTTTAACTCTGAGGGAGTTGTAAAATGAGCCTATTTCCAAAAAAAGTGAAGTATCCCTTTAACTAAAGAGCTGGATATGCTGGTGTGTGTGTGTGAGTGAACATTTCACAATGGAATATACCAACTCATCTACATGTGGTTCCAACCCCGTATGACTGATCCATGGAAGACAAAAGGAGAGATTTTTGTACAATCACAATGTTGTTTTGCTTACAATGAAAGTTTTTGGGGGACAGATGTTGTCGATCTCCTGAAAACACCAAGTTTTCTCAAGCCATTTGTTCTTCGTCTCATAACTGAGAAACGTAACGAAATACACTACTGTTCAAAAGTTCTGCTCAATAAGGCTGAGCCTGCACTTGTTTGATTAAAAATACAATGAAATATTGTATATAGGCCTGTTCTTCATATAAAGCTATTGTGTGTTTTCAGAAGATATATAGTGCTGCACAAGATGCTTAAACTAGTTTAATGGTGCTTTTTTTGGTCACTTTTGGACATGGACAGCATCTGTCTCCACTGACTTGCTAAAGAGTGGACGAGCGTTCTGCTAATCATATTTTGTGTCCCAGAGAAGCGAGTCAAACGGGTGTAGAAAGAACGCCATGACAGTTAGTAACTGATCCTTTTTAATGCAGAGTAAACTATCCCTTTAAAGCACCTCTTTCACCCTGGAGGCTGTAGGAACACCTCTGTGCTCTTTGCTATCACAGGAAGAGAAGATACAACACAATCTGGTTATCGCAGTGTCCACAGTCACTGGTGACAGATGTGCCCACTTTTAACTCTGAAAGGGCTTCCTCTCCTTCACAAAAGCAGCCTGAACATGAGACAACAGCTGGGATCCAGCAACTGCCTTCACTTTTCAAGCCAGAGAAAACAAAGTCAGAGAGTTTGCTTGGAGGGATGCGTCTTAAAGGAACAGTTCAACCAAAAATTGAATGCGTCATTCGCAGAATGTTCACGCAGCTCTTCCAAACAAAGTAAATTCGGACGATCAATACATACATGCATACAAAAATAAAAAAGTGTCGAATTTTTACTCAGAATTTACTTGTAAATTTCAAACAAGTTGAAAACAAATGTGAAATTTTGTAGTATTATAGTATTTTTGGTAACACTTTATTCAACTTGACGTAGTTACTAGGGCTGTGTATCACCAACAATGTCACGATACGATAATCATCACGATACTAAAGCCTTGATACAATACGCATCACGATATGGATCAATTTGGAATTTAAATTTCTTTTGAGCCGAGTTTATTACACAGTAATAAATGTTTATTAAAACACC